ACTGTTGAGGGTTCAGCCTCCTGATGAGTCGGTGAAACTCCGACGAAACAGTTTGCCTCAGCTCCTCGTTTGTTGTCCTCTTCTCTCTCTCTGCCTACGGTTTACCGGGCAGTTCTGTTTGTGACGATATATATATAAGTTTTTAATAATTTTTATACTTTTTATTATTTTTATTTATTTTTGGCCCGGCCGAGCAAGTGGTTCCGGGCCACGGTGGTGAACGTAGGTTGTGACTTGACTCACTGTGCTGCAGTCTGACAAGCTGTTCTTTTCTGCTGGTGAAGTTTTTTCCCTGACTTTAGGCTTTCTCTGGTGGTGGTCGTTTTTTTCTGGCTTTGTGACGTGTTGGTCGGGATGTGATGGGATCGAGATGAGATCGAGATGGGATGAGACGGTTGGATGGGATACAAGATCGGGTCAAGATGGGATTGGGACGGGATCGGGTCAGGATGGGATCGGGATGGGACGTCTGCATCGGGATGGGCTGGTGGTCGTGGCGGTGTTTCCCTTTTTTTTTTTTTTTTTTTTTTTTTCCCTTCTTCATCAGGCTGTCCTCAACTACTGGCCTTATTCAAACACGTTGCTGACGCTGCAGATGATAACATCCATCGTCGTCTTGTACACGGGACGTTGGTTCTTCAAATTGAATGTGAGGCCATTCGAGCTGAAGGCTGCGCGCGCATGTGTACCGGTGGTTTTCTTCTACAATGCGAACGTCGGATTTGCGCTGGCGGGCCTCAAAGCACTGAACATTCCCATCTTCAACACGCTGAAGCGGATGACACCCGTAATGGTCTTGTCAGCGAAGTTTCTCCTTGGTGACCCATTACCATCAAGGTACTTGCTACTATGTCCACAATTTGTTTTGTTTTTTTTTCAGTTTTTTTTCTATGCTACCAGCCGGGCCGCCCGGGTCACCCTGTTTTCCCGGGCGGCCCGGCCGTGCAAGGACCAGGGAAGGTCCCAACGAAATGAAAAAAAATCCAAAAAATGATTAAAATCCGGAAAAAAAAAATGATTTTTTTTATTTTTTTTTTTGTCTCGGCCGGGCAAGTGGTCCCGGGCCACTCTGGCAGCCTAGTTTTTTTTGAAGTTGTTTGAAGTTTTTTCCCTTTTTCTTCATTGATTTAAAGCTCAAAACTGTGGTTGCCTGCTTGCTTGCTGCACATCCTATTACCCCAGTGGAATCTTCTGGGCAATATCATCCGGTGGTTTTTTTTTTTTTTTTTTTTTTTTTTTTTTTTTTTTTTTTTTTTTTTTTTTTTTTTTTTTTTTTTTTTTTTTTTTTTTTTTTTTTTTTTT